CCGGTTTGGTAGATTTGACGAAGCGGTTCTACCGAATAGATGCGAACTGGTAGGAACCCACCTCTGGTGTGCGCGCACGTGAATAACTCTGGAACGCCTCGAGCAATTTCAACCAAACTTGGTACACAGATGACTTACTCTCTGGAGACAAATACTGTGGTGGTAAGACACTCCTAACTCCCCTCGGTGTGCGTGTGTTCTGTTAAGATAGAGCTTCCTGTGCCTTAAAATGGCTTCTACTGTACAGGACAGTGGAGTTGCCATGGTACCGGCTTCACAGTACTCCACAATGTAAGGGGGAAAATCCAACATTTGAAATTGCGGCGATGTTTATGGAAGGAAGGTTGGGATAAATAAATACCTGGGCAGCGCTGGGTTATCAGGTAGTTTAAAATAAAATCGAACACAAGAAATGGGGAAAAGGAGACTTAAGTCTTGCCAAGATGGGGCTGTAGATGTAAACATCTCTAGACCTAAGCTCGGCCTTTTTCTGTTTATTCCTGCATTATGTAACTTGTATTGTTTGGGTTGGGATTGTCTTACTACATGATGTAGTAGTGCCGTAAGTAGCACATTGCTACACTGCATTTCCTTCCTCCCTTCTAGCATCTCCACAAACTGCAGGAGGACTGTGAAAGAAGAGAAGCTGAATTGGAAAAAGCAAAAGAAGAAAAATTACAGCTTGACAAATTGCTTGAGAGACTCAAGGAAAAGGTACAAATTGTTCTTAGCTAATGATGAGCTGTTTCTCGACTGTGGCAATTTTAAAATAAGTGGACTTCAACTGCCAGAATTCCCCAGCTAGCCATTACAATCTTACAGGATACATTTTCCATATCAATCTTTGGACAGTGGGCTTCTCTGATTTTTCAGGATAGGAGGCTGTCATAGATTGGTGTTGAGGGATTGGTAGTGTTGCTGATGGAGCTTTAAAATAGACCATTATACAGTTTTGCTCACAACAAATAATTTTGCAATGTTCACTTCTATTCCCCTGAGGGTTCAAAGCATATGATTTTCAATGTATGAGCAGTAACAGTTCAGAAATCAAACACGTGGAACTTGACAATGTATTCTGAGAAATAGGTGTAAGAAAGAAAGAAAAAGAAGAAAGAAAGAAAGAAAGAAAGAGAAAGAAAAGACAGAAAGAAAAAGAAAGGAAAGGAAGGAAAGGGGAGGAAGGAAGGAAAGGAAAACAGGAAGTAAGTATACAGAAAAGAAGGGAGGGAGGAAAGGAAAGAATGGAAGGAAAGGAAGAAAAATAAAATAAAATAAAATAAACTGCATACCAACAGGTCTAGATTCTGTGCCAAGAAATTTTTTTGTTTGGATAAATGCAGACATTTCATATGTCTGATTATTTGAGTACAGCAACACTTAGGTGCCTGTTAGTTACAATATTTTAATTGATGTTTTGTATTTCCACTGGAGAATTTTGATGTTCTCCATATAAAGAAATAAATCTTAGTTTTGTCTTAGAAGAGCAACGTTGCTTTTTATAGCAGCCTGCCTTTTTATACAATGCTTCTTAGCTGCCTATCTCAACAAGGAACTCTGGGTGGCAAATAGAATTGAAATAAAATGAAAACAATTACAAACATTGTAACTAACAG